CGAATCGGGGCGGCTGTGGAACACATGCTATCTATAATGGGTTTGAAGACTATATACCGATATGCTTCAAAGGAGTTGATTCCAGGAATGAGAGTGTAGACTAACTGTAAACATGAACACTGATAGAAGAGCTGCTCTTCAAGCCGTTCTTGGAAGAAAAATTTAAGCCTTGTCGAAGTCCATCAGGTCCTTCCTTAAAGATGAAGCTAGTAGTAGTAGTAGTAGTAGTGTTGGGAAATCGGAGCCAAGCAAGCAGGCCAACGTTATACCTTTTTGTCGACCTCGAGTGTACCAATATCCAATTCCACATGTTAGTTCACTAATCTGTCGAACCGTCCTGATTTTCTAATAAAGGTCAGGATGTCCTAACATTCCACTAAGTAAGCAAATTCACCACCGAACTCCATGGCTCTGAATATCTCAGCCCTTGGACCGCAATACACGGGGCAATAGTCCAGAAAGTGGAACACTGTCTCGCCCTCATCCCAGTTCATGGGACAGGTTGGATCTCTCGTCACTCTTAAAAGGAATAAGTGTCTGTTCAGTCTGCAGTGAGAACCTCCACCACAAGGTTGAGTGATTCTCTACAACCTTCCAGTAGCCAGCGCGTCTGACGTTTGTCGGGGCCTGCTACGAACCTCTTGGCCTGTCTTCTGTCATCTCTCTCTCGCCACGCTTTTTTCAGAGCCATATACACCCATTCATTCAGTGCGGCGTTGACCTGTCTCCTGCTCAAGCCCAGTCTAGGCTCAGGACCGATGCAGGTGCTTCTGCTCCCCACTCTAGCCATACGATCAGCTTTCTCATTGCCCGACAATTCACTGTGTCCGTGGACCCAAAGCAAGGTCAGTTTTTTTAGATCTGGCTACACTCTGAAGGGCAGTAGTACATTGAGCTAAGTGTGACCTTGTCCTTAGAGATGCCGCGGCCTTCGAGACTGCATATGAATATGCTAGGTAAGCTGCTGAATTTCCTCTGAGTATGCCACCATTATGGCAAGTATCTCTGTCTGGAAGATGGTTTTACGGGTTCCAAGAGCAATGCTTTCCTGCACGCCTTTGCCTTCCAAGTATATTTCCGCCCCACTTATCCTGATTCCTAGGAAAAAGATCCGCAAGTGAAGCACACAAGACGAAGTTAGGTTTTTAATGATATGATGAGCCTACGAACATATTTTATTACCGTGGGAGTCTTTTAATCTATCGCGTTCCAGAATTGCCATTATGGGATCAAGCAGATACAGGGTGACCCATCGCAACGTGCTTCTTTCAAAATTCTAATAAAGAACAGAAGAAAAACTTAATCATGCTGTAAAGCTGTAAAATGCGTCTATACATTGTTTCTGAAATTATGGATATCCTTGATCTATCGAACTTTCCTCCTAGTATCCAATTGGTATAAACATCGAAGGTATTGCTTTCCTAAGCGTACAGTTTCGATTTTGGGGTTGAGTGGAAGGGTTATACGACATATACATCATGCCAGATTTGTACGTGCCATCGTACTGCCACAGGGCTGAGCGAAACCACTGAATGTACATTAGGTTGAATTGCAGGGAATGATGCACATCCCGTGTCTGAAACGAAATACCTATCATCAGCGGGTATATTTTACGGCACTGAACTTTGTATTCTAGGCAATACGGTATCAGTATCAGTAAACGAAATTACTGCATTCGTACTTCACTTTATTAAATCCTGTCTCTGTGAAACAGGATATAGGAGCTTGTCTGTTTTGTTTGAACTACTATATTACAATCGCTACTCTCGAAAGATTTGGATTTTATATAATCGACAGTTCAGTTTCCTTTTTAAAGATCAGAGGGAAATATTGAGGATTAAGAAACACTAACGTAATCAATCAAATTATGCAGTTTCAAGTTATTGTCCACTAGGATTTGTTTTCTTTAGAACTTAGAATATTGATAATCTATATAAAGGTTCTTACGGATAGGAAAATCAAGAAAATTGCGCAGAAAATTGGGAAATCATTGAAAACCTAATGATTATTTAAGCTACGTGCGTTTGACAGTTTGCTTGAGTATGGAGTACGCACAGCAGAAGAAATATCTCAAATACCAAAAGAGACAGGCACTCCTCTCCGCCGTCTTTATTCCAACAGATATGTAGCTAAGTAAGAGAAAATTGCTTATGAAAACACGGTGCTTTCGTTTTTGGACTTACATTTTTTAACCATCCGTACTTTGTAATGGCCCCTTCAAAAGAAATTGCACTGTTGCCTAATTGTTATCTTTATCAGTTAACTCTATGAATACAAATGGAGGAAGAAAATACGTTTCTTTGGCTTAATAGACTTTCACTACACTTGACAGCTCGCACGCCGCAAATTTATATTACCGTTTAACATAAATAATTACATCGATGAAAACATATTTTTGTTTGTTCAGTGAGTTTTTGACAAGTATTTGTTCAAAAATAGTAATTAACAAAGGTGGAAGTTAGTTCACCGCAATCACGCCTTATACTAAAATTGTGATTCTTCAAAATGCCACCAATTAGACGTACAAATATAGGTCGCAGAACTTGCAATGCTGCAAGTCAAAGGTATATACGAAGAAGTCAAACTGACGAGCAATGAGACACGAGAAATGAAGTTGAACGGGATCGGAGGACTGAAATTCACCAACGTAGAAGTGCCGCATTTAATCCCAAACGAGCATTCAATTATGACGTGGCAATTGATTACAGTTCACAACAAATCATTTCTATTGGACCAATGAACGTTATGAGTCCACATTGCAAGGCTTTCCAGTTTAAAAATGAAGCCCCTGGATTATGTTGCCTCAGTGGAAAGATCAAATTGACTACATTGTTACCACCACCAGAGCCACTATATTCATTGATTTTCGTAAATGGCCCTCATTCCATACATTTTCGGACTCCAAATCACGTCATTTGGCGCAACAAAATTCATTCCACATTATTTTATGCCTACTTTCAAGGTAAGTTGAAGTGGGAATGACAGTGCGCCAACGTATTTTGCTAGCCACATGGTGGTACAAACACTTTGCTATACAATTACCTATATTCCATATTATGTACACGAGCCCCTTTCCACTTCAGTTGGCCCAACTATTGAAATCTTAGTTTTTTCTTATCAAACCCAAGTAATAAAAATGTAGCAGGGTGTTATAGGTTTAAAATATTAACAATGAATAGTTTGTTAATATATAGTAGAAAACACCAAGTTCATCACTCCCTAATCAAATTTGCAGCATAAAAATAACACATGTTGCAATTACAGCATATCAACCTATTTTCATTTCAATACAAAATAAGTATATAACGTATAGGTGGCTGTGAAAAATAAAAGCCATGACAATTGTTTTCATTACTCACAGCTGTCAGAATTCGTTTAAAATAGTTTTGGGTAGTTAAGGTTTTCAAAATGGGGAGAGGAAAGGTTATTAGATGGAAAATTCGGTTACTGATAATTAATTTTTTTAATTCTGGGAAATCAAACTCAGAGATTGCAACTTTGTTAGACTTATCACGGTACAGTGTGAGAAATATTGTTAGAAGATATAACGTAATTTATTCAGTTAATATTACAATTAAGTGCTCTGTGGAGTGACGCTGTTGGAAGAAGGATTTCGAGGTCCACAACTCATAGAGAGGCCCACAAACTGGGATTAAGCACTTGCAAGGTAAGCTTTCTTATAAAAAAAAGTAAAGTAAAAGCTCTAAATAGGCCAAAGAAAAGCCACTATTAACTCCACTGCAAAAGAAAAATCGGCTTAGATGGACTAAAGAACATAGACAATGGACACCTCAACAATGGTGTGCAAGACAATGGAGTGATGAGGCCCGATTCGAAGTTTGTGTTGGTGACAGTCGCAGTAGAGTTATTCGCAAAAAAATGAAGCATTCCGTGTTGACTGTCTGAAGAGAAAAGTGAAATTTCCAGCATCCATTATGGTCTGGGGCAGTATGTCATCAAAACGAGTAGGAAAACTTCATTTTATTGATGGAAATGTGGATACAAACAAATATTTGACAATTTTAGAAGAATCGCTTTTACCAGTGATGGAAGAATGTTTGACATCCGGCCAAGATTTTCTGTTTCAGCAAGATGGTGCAGCGTGCCATACCTCAAAAAAGGCTATAAAATGGATGGAAGAAAATAATGTACCACTTTTGAAATGGGTTTCTAGCAGTCCAGATCTGTCACCTATTGAAACTTTGTGGCACGAAATGAAAAAGGTTCTACGACAACATCCTGCTCGTACAATCACCGAACTGAGACAAAAGCTTCAAAGAATATGGGATTGTTTTACACCAAATTTTTGTCAAAACTGGGTAACACTATGCCCCAAAGAATTTCAGCCGTAATAAAAAATAAATGTGATGTTACCCAATGGTAATCTTTCAATTGTTGCTTTGTTAACTTCGTGCATTTATTCGCACATTGTTTATTTGTTCGGATGTCCTATTAGTTATAGGTCAGAGTGATTTCAAATATGTATTTTTTACAACTAGAGTGTATCTAAAATGTTTTTGAGAAAATAAATTGTTTTAGAAGTAAATAGTTTCGTCATGTTTAGTTTATAAAGGCATATTTTGGTACAAATCTTGAAGTGGGCCAACTGAAGTGGGAAGGGGCTCGTATATTTACCCTTTTATTATTCATCCCAGTTCATAGATAAGACAGGACAACGTCTGTCGGGTCAGGTAGTTCCAAATAAAAATGAAAGTAATGCTAGTCATTTGTCAAAACATGATTCGAATCTGGAATATTTTAGTTACTGCTACAATATTGTATACAAAACAGCGATAGGCATCATAATCAATTTTCCAAATACCTTTTGACCCAGGAAAATAAACAAGGGTTTGTTCCAATTTAAAATTTTGATACTACATAAAACCATCTTGAATGCGATTTAATTACATTACATTGGACAGCATTACTCTACAAGATGACATACTTCGAATTAAAAAATACTTATCATTGTGAACTTTCTCTTAACTTTATTTGCCCCTAGAAGAACAGGTGTAGGATTAACATCTTCCTTGATATCTTTAATCTTCAACGACCTATGAGGCTTACCATACTTGTAAGTGTGGACTTACCTGAAACAAAAAATTCGTATCAGTTTTTCGGTAAATACATTATAACACGTTAACTGTCTTTGGTAGACTGTAAATGTACCATTTACAAAAAGTAATATGAAGCATGACTCTGAATACACCTAGGTCTTTCCTTACGCAATAAATTAAGTAGATACTTTCTAGACATTAATACAAATAAATTCATTTCAAAAGTACTTTATTGATGACCAAGCATCTCAAAATATTAAAAAAATGAGAATGATTGTTTATGAAGGTTTCTCGTTCAAAGTGGCTTTATGATTTTGCGATAACAAAAACAAATAAGAAAAAGAACGATAGAATTACAGATAGGCAGACCCACGGCTGATATATTTTTTCGGGGTAAGGAGATCCTGAAGCTTGAAAAAATATTATGTAAAAGAACAATTTCCCTTATGCGAGGGAAGTGGAAACAATGTTTACAATCTAGACTACGAAATTTACAGCACATCGCATTGTAATGCTAAACAAAGTTCGGCAGTCTGATGGATATTAATTTGACCTTATCAAAACTTTTGTATTCTTCTTATAAGAGTCTTATGAAATTAATGTAAATACTGTCATAAAATGAAAAGATAACAATATACGATATGTATACCTATGGGATAATATCAAAAGGTTAAGGTTTATGTCGTCAATAGTGATAAACACTGATTTTCAATAAAAAAATTAAACTCATGTTCAATCCAGTCCAGATCCATTTTTTGCCTAGATAATATTTGCTTTTGACACATATTTTAATTCCACATAATTTCAATCAATAATCTCGCTTCAGAACTTATGTCAAAACATCGGTGATTATTCTCACCAGAAAGTTTCCATCACTTCAGTTCGCTTTTTCCCCAATGATATGATGTGAAACATCCAGTCATATCCATCAAGGGTATCGCTGGAATTGCTTTTGCCTTTTTTCTATCACACATCAGACTTGAAGGGCGTGCTAGCGATTATGATATTCCGTCAGAAGCAGCAAGAGGTGAACGTCAGGTCAACCACGAGACCCACTTCTTTTGTTCGATCCTTTACACCCTACCTACAATGAGTGTCTGCTGCAGACAGGTGGTTGAAATTGTATACTAAGTAAAATGCAGGGAAGGGGAGCGACCCAAAAACTAACATGCGAACAGCGCTTTTCGACTGTAGGTTTCTGGGTCGCACGATTCTCAAAGGTTAGCGGTATAAGACATGGAATAAGTGAGTATGTGAACTGTAAATTTAATACTGTTTGTCTTTGTGAAAAAGATTTTATATTATAATAGATTTCTAATTTTTATTATACAGGGAAACTACCAAACGTATTTCTTCAATATGTATATTGAATAATTTCAAAACTGGACATGTTTGCCTTGATAAGAAAAATAAAAATGGTGTGAGCATATTAATATATGACACATATCTAATATAATTACGGACAGTCAGACATCTTCTGTAAATCTTGTTACCCGTTTTTTGCACTTACTTGCTGTACAAAAGAAATGCTATCTTTGACCAACAGTTTAGTTTTGAAATCATCCTACATGCAACAGGCCGCGTCAACGTGAATATTACTGAAAAACCGAATCATAGGGATCTTCGGCATGCTCTTTTCAGCGAGTCTACATACAAATAGGCCGAGATTAAGGAGAGTTATTTATTTGAGTTATACAGGGCGTTCCAGAAGTCATGGAGCAAACAAAAGGGGCTTGTATGAGGGACCATTTGCAATCAGATAAACCATATGTCCATATGTCGTTATCCGATTGTGTTTTTGAGTTATCGCCATTTTTAAGAAATTATGGAACATGGCTACTTCTGAGACTGTACTATTTATTTCTGAATAATGTGTCGCTGGAAAAAAATATTTTTTACTTATACCAAAGCAGCCGCGCAGGCAGAAGCCTAAATGTCGGGATACTGCGGCTGCTATGATGATCCGAAAGAAATTTTGGAAATACGATTTTTGAATTGCCTAAGGTTAGTAGAACTGGGAAAAGCTTCCTCTTGTAGATTGTTCCACAATCTCGAAACACTCGGGACAAAGGAGTGGTCGTATCCGCCAGTTTTGGATGTACGAAATTCGACACGGCTAGGATGGGACGCCAAAGTTGAGGCGGGTCTGTCTGGCAGGCACATTGCGCGACGGCATCATGGAAGAGAGCTCTGAGGAGCAAAGCCCGATGGTGTAGCGGTAGAAAAGAGCTAGATCGCCGACAACCTGCCGGTGCGAGGGCCCGAGACTGCCTGTTAGAGAAGAGTCAAGAGAGAATAGTCCAGTTAATGTAGGTACAGCAATCGGGTTATCAGAAATTATGTTCGTTAGCAAAAAGATTACACCATATTCAACGAGACATGTACAAGAAAATAGTAGACGGATAAATTGTCCATAGTGATGAAAATCTTTCCAATATTAAGTCCTTTCAAGATATCTATTGGATAATCTAATATTCCAAATACTTTCCAGGCAAAGTAGACAAAATTCTAAATCCGGAAATCCCCATCGTTAAACTTGGCCGTTTAACTGCCATTGGTGACAGTTTTCCTTCCAAATAGGATGAACAAATACTTATGAGACAATAAATCTTCAGACCTGAATGAATTCAAGATATAATCATTCCATGGGGTGGTGGCCTTTGCATTATTTTGGGTATTAAGAGCGTTACTGAAACAATGGAGCATTACCTAATCCTATAAGTTCACTTACCAGCCTTATGTCATTTTTTTTCTTCAGAAAATATGTTGCGGCTCTGAAAAGAGCACTTCTTTGTGTCCATATTAAGCGATATTTACAGGAGATATTCGTGTCTTCCTTCTGCTCTGCTCTTTATTGTCATAGAAAATTTTAAAGGTATTTTATCTCCTAACTTTTATTGACTATCTACACCAATATTTCAAGACAATTTGAATATACGCGAAACAGTTATTTCTCTAACTTTGACGTTTAATAAAAATGGCATCAAGCAGGTTGAGCTCGCACTTCTTACGCAACAGTGTCACCAATGCATAAGGGACAGGTTAATCCCTCTTAGAAAAACATTGGCTACGAACATGAACAACAAACGGATTAAATTTATACAATCAGTCCATAGTTAAACAATGTGATGTAGCCTACCCCTCGACCAGCAGTACTGACCATCCAAGACGTCGGAATCCAGTACGGGCATATATTATACACGAAAATACCCAGATTGCTCAGTTGTGGTTTAGTCATCCCTAGCCATCCAAAGCAGAGATCCGCGCGCTCGTTGAGTTATCCAACAAGCGTACATCGAAGATATATCTTTATGATTCAACTTTTAAGGGCAAATGCAGCTGCCTTTGCAATATTTTGGGTGTAAAGACCATTACCGTAACAGAGTAGCATTATTTCCTCCTGTAAGCCCAACTACCAGCCTTATGTAATTCAAATAGAAGACAGTAAATTCTTGAAAGTGATTATCAGATCAAATGTATGTGATGTTTGAGTTTTATTTCCTCTATATCCCAGGAGTCATTCTTTTTTATTCAGAAAATATGTTGTGGCTCTTACAGGAGATGTTTGAAGGGTCTTCCTCCTGCTCTAATGCAAGCTCTGCATTATCATAAAAAAATTCTCCCAACCCGCTGTACCATGTGAGGATTACTGTGGAGGCTGCTGTTCACAGTAGCAATACATTCTCTTAAAGCTTGTACGGTTGGGGCAACCGGTGATCAACATACAAGCTTCTCTCGGTATTGCGCTCAGTTTGGCTTGGACAGTTCTTTGTGCTGCGTTGCCCCACCAAGCTACAGGACCCATAGGTTATCACAGGTCTAATGACTATGTATAAAGCCAAACCATTTGTTTAGGATTCATTTCCCAGTTCCTTCCACAGACCCTTCGGCAGTTCCATAGCAAGATCCTTGCTTTCCATTCGCACCAATCCGCTATTGCGGTTAACACCTCCTGGAGTGTTCCCGAGATATGTTCCCCAGATTTCCCTCTGACTAGGACGACTACATCGTCTGCATAAGCTTGAACCTCGGCCTCCCATAGGCGAATAATGGCAATCAGATTATCTACCAGGAGCGACCACAAAAGGAGAGATAACACCCTTCCCTGTGGACACCCTCTGGCAGCTCTAAATCTGAGTGCCTCCCCCTGTATGATTCTGCATGTCAACATGCTTCTGATCCAGCCGCAGATTGGAGGATACACACCACTGGAGGCGATTGATTCATAGAGGGATTCTGGTAAGGCATTGTTAAATGCTCCCTCTATGACCCAGAAGGCCGCTATGGCAATTTCCTTGTTTTCCAAGGACGCTTTGATGCTCGCAACCAAGTTGTTGAGAGCAAGGTCTGTTGATTTTCCAGCCTGATAGGCATATTGTTCCACACATAGAGGATGTCTCTTCAGAGCCCCCCCCCCTTATGTACTCATCAATTACCTTTTCAAGGCCTTTCAGCAGAAATGAGGTCAGACTAATTGGTCTGGGTAACTTCGCCACTGGATCTGTCCGTCCAGGTTTGGGTATATACTGGTCACCTTCCAGCCATGTAGTATGTGATTCCACGCTAGGCTGGCTCTGTAGAGTGCTATGAGGTGTTACTATGGTTCTGACAGTCTGCCAGTCTCCCCTGTGGGGTCGTTTATCCGTCCGATTCTCGGGGAATTGGCCAGCTAAGTCATCAGATATTATACTTCCTGGAAAGTGGTTTTGCGCAAGTATCTCCAAGGTTTCTCCCCTGGACTGTGTGAACGTGCTGTCTGGTCGCTTGATCGACCCCAGCTCCTGTCCACATATAACCCGATACGAAAAAATCAATGGGGATGAGGTCTGGTGAACGAGGCGGCCAGGTTATGGTTCCTCCTTACTGAGTCCATTGGCCTGAGTATGTGATACCTTATAAACTCCTGCTCTTCGAAAATAATTTACGACTTAGGCAAATGACAAGGTTCAGCGATGACAGAGAACGTACCACACACCCAAAAACTTTCTGTTATCTAGTAGTCTGTAGTTATTTTGAGAGATTGGTCAGAGTCT